ACAAAATGCCCTCAGAATGTCCCCAAGACTCTGCAGTGGTGACACCCTAATGACGCCATCACGGTGACAGGAGCGTTCCTGCAGCAGCCTCGGGATTTCCTCCACAGCGCTTTGGCACTGCTCACCCACCGTGCGGCCAGGGCCATTGTGGCCAGGAAGGGGACACAAGGAGAAGGGGTGCATGTCCTCAACTCTCCACAGCAGGTGATGCGTGGCCAGGTGGCCGCTGGCATCCCACAGCCACTCGGCCTTGGCCACCACAGCCAGCAAGGCTGCACAGAAATCAGGGGATGGCTCCTCTGTCCCCTTTATGGTGGCCTTGATGTCCCCAGCCTGCTGCCGCAACTCCTGGAGGAACACAGTGGCTTCTTCAAATGTGGGTGCCAAGGCCCTGGGGATATCGGGGGATGGCTCCTCTATCCCCGCCAGGGCTAACTCGATGTCCCTGAGTCGGCGCTGCAGCTCCCGGGGGTACTCCATGACTCTGTCACACGTGGCCACCAAGTGCTCCAGCAGCCCCAGGGCCACCTCTGCCTGCTGTCTCCTCATGGTGGCCTCCTCTGCCCAGGCATTGCACAGCCCGGTGGCCTCGTCAGCCAGCCAGAACCAGCTCTCCATGAAGGTGTCCACCGGCTCCTGCCAGGCCTTGGCTGCAGCTCTCACATCGGCCCAGGTGGTCCCAGGGGTGGCCTCAAGGCTGGCCAGGGCCTGGCCCAGGGAGGGGACACGGCAGTGCCTCAGGGTGAGGACATCAAAGTTGTCCAAGGAGAATGTGTAGGGGTCCGGGGAGGTGACCCTGCAGTGCCACCAGGGGGTGACACCACTATGGGCCAGAAAGATGAAACTCTGGCCCTGAGTGTCCTGGAGGTGATTGATGAAGGTCCTCAGGGACACACGAAGGAAGGACCTTGGGGACACGGTCAGCAGCTGCCTGCCCCTGTCTGGCCTGGTCACAGTGGCCACCTGCTCGGCCAGGGTGGCCACCACTGCCACCAGAGCCTCCAGCAGCTGAGGAGGGGACGGGGGAGGTGTCAGGGACCTCGTAGCACTTGTGGCCTCCTGCAGTGGTGCCTGTGCCCTCCTGGGGTCCCCTGTGTCCCCTCCCTGGAGGGCTGTGCTGTCCTGTCTGTCCCTGTTCCAGCGCCTCATCCCCTCTGCCACCCCCTGCCACCCTCCCACTGTCCCCTCTCTCTGCCACTCTCAGTCCCCTCCACCCCTCTGTCACCTCCCCCCTTCCTGCCACACCCTCTTGTCCCCTCTGTCACCCCATGTTCCCCCAAGCCAGAATTGTCACACGCTGAGGGGCTCCATGGCCACTGAGGACATTCCGGGGACGCTCTAGGGGCACTCTGGGGTACTCCAGGTGACACACACACCCAGGTGACAGTTGGGGACCCACAGGAATGTGGCACGGCCAGATGGAGGAAGCAGGAAGAGGTGACGTCACTATCCCCTCTCCCTCCCCCCCCCACCTGTGGGGCCTGGGCAGGGTTCCCCCAATGTCCCCAATGGGACCCCGATGTCCCCTGAATGTCCCCACATGGCCCTGGTGTTGCCCCAATGTCCCCCACAAGGCTCAAGTGTCCCCCTGATGTCCAGCTGGGGACACCAGGGACTCACCGGGGTCCTGTTGGGGACCCTGGGGACACCCCCATGTCCTTCCCTTCGGGACACCCCTTTGTCCTTCCTTTGGAGACACCGGAGCCACCCTGACATCCCCTGTCCTGTTTTGGGCCACTACGATGTCCCTGATGTCCACACAGTCTCCCCAAGAGGACCCTGGTGTGTCACCTCTGTCCCCAACAGGACAGAGGGGGACACTTGAGCCTTGTTGGGGACCCTGAGGGGACATTGGGTCCTGTTGGGGACATCGGGGGGTTACACTGGCGCCCTGTCCTGGTTCCAGAGTGGGGGGAGGGAGGGCAGTGTCGTCACTTCTTCCTGTTTCCTCCATCTGGCTGCGTCCCGTTCCTGCGTGTCCCCAACCTTTACCCAGTTGTGTTTGTCATCCGGAGAGTCCCCGGAGTGTCCTCAAGGCATCCCCGGAGTGTCCCTGGAGTGTCCCCAGCTGCCATGGAGCCCCTCGAGGTGCGACAATCCCTAAGTGGTGGTGAGGGGGGGACAGAGGGGACACGGGGGTGACAGAGGGGACATGGAGGGGGCGGGGTGAAAGGAGGCAGTGGGGGACAGAGGTGACACAGGGGTGGCAGGAGGGACAGGATGTCGCAAAGGGGACAGGAGGGCATAGGAGGAAGTGGGGAGGTGACAGAGAGGTGAAGGGAGGGGGACAACAGGAGGTGGCAGGGGGGAGCAGAGGTGTCGGGGGAGTGAGAAAGGGACAGAGAGGACAGCAGAGCCCTCCGGGGAGGGGACAAAGGGGATCCCAGGAGGGCACAGGAGCCCCCACAGGAGGCCGTAAGTGCCACCATGTCCCTGACACCTCCCCTCTCCCCTCTCCAGCTGTCCCCTCCCCAGCTGTCCCCAGCCCTGCTGCAGCCACAGGACAGCGCTGTGGCCATCCTGGGCGAGCTGGTGGCCACCCTGCCCAGGGAGACCGAGATGCTGCTCAGGTCTACAGTGAGCCTGCACCGGGACCTGGAGGAATTCACCAGGGAACTCCGGGCCACCCTGTACCACACTGATGACACCTGGTGGCTCTGGAATGCCACTAACGATGATAATAACCCTCTCACCTCCCTGAGCCAGGACCTGGCCGCCTATGAGAGCACCTCAACGACCCCGCAGAGTCGTGTGATATCGCCGTACATAAGCTGATTCATGGCCCTGGATATGCTCAAGGACAGCTAGGCCGAGCTGGCCAGGAAAGACACCAAGCTCCACAACACCTACAGGGAGGTGGCTACTGAGGCAGCCTCTGAGGAGGCCACCGCCCGAACCAGGGCGGTGCAGGACGAGGCTGCCGGTTATGGGACAGCTCAGGAAAACATGGTGGAGCTGGGTCAGGCCCTGGGCAGGCAGGATGGGGCCGAGGTGGTGGCCAGGCATGAAGCCCAGGTGAGGAGAGAGGCCAGGGTGGCTGCCAGCGAGGCAACAAGGGCCACCATGATGAGACAGCGGCTGGAGGCGGCCCTGGGGCTGCTGGAGCACTTGGTGGCCACATATGATGAAGCCACCGCGTTCCCCCAGGAGCTTCAGCGCCTGCTCTGGGACATGGAGAAAACCGTGGAGGGGAGAAAGAATGTCCTCCAATGTCATCAAGGACTTGCTGGCCAAGGTGGCCTTGGCTGAGCAGCGGCTGAGGCCAGCGCCCGCCAGGCCCCGAGTCACTTGGTGAGGACACTTCCAGATGCCATCAAGTTCTTGTTCACTGGTGGTCCCACCAGCCCCAGTGCCTGTGGGGTGGCTGAGCGATGCTGAAGAGCCATCAAGGAAATCCCATGGCTCATTCGACCCCCGGAGCGTCCCCCAAGTGTCCCCAGGGAGTCCCCAGTGAGCATGGAGCTCCACAAGGTGTAACTTGCATGGGGTGGGGAGAGAGGGAGAGAGGGAACACTAGGGAGGGAGGGGACACGAGGCCTGCTGGGGATGGCAGAGGGGACAGCACTGGTGGCAGATGGCAGGAGGGATTACAAGGGGAGGAGGTGGCCAAGGGAACAAAAGGCTTACAAAGGGCCAATGGGGACAAAGGGGACCCTTCAGGGGCACAGGGGCCACCCCAGGAGGCCATAGGTGCCACCAGGCCCCTGTCCCCTCCCCAGCTGTCCCTGGCCCTGCTGCAGCCACAGGTCACCCTGGTGGCCACCCTGGGCGAGCTGCTGGACACCCTGCCCAGGCGGGGCGAGGAGATGATTCTGTTCGGGTCTACAGGGTGCCTGTACCGGGACCTGGAGGACTTCACCAGGGACCTCCGGGTCACCATGTACTGCACTGATGACACGTGGTGGTGCCGCAATGTCACCTCCAATGATGACCCTCTCATCTCCAATGATGATGACCCTGTCACTTCGCTGAGCCGAGCCCTGAATGCCTACAAGAGCACCCCAGGGACCCGCAAGCACCGTGTGACAATGGCAGCCAGGAAGTGGCACAGGCCGGCGTATGCACTCGTGGACGGGTGGGCCAAGCTGGCCAAGAAAGCCACCAAGCTCCGCAGCACCTTCAGGGGTTTGGCACCAAGGCAGCCGACAGGGCTGCCACCGCCCAGGCCAGGGAGCTGCAGGACAAGGCTGCCCATGGTTGGACAGCTCAGGAAAACATGGTGGAGCTGGATCAGGCCCTGGGCAGGGAGGAGTGGGCCGAGGTGGTGGCCAGGCGTGAAGCCCAGGTGAGGAAAGAGGCCATGGTGGCTGCCAGCCAGGCAACAAGGGCCACAATGGTGAGACAGCAATGGGAGGTGTCCCTGGGGCTGCTGGAGCGTTTGGTGGCCGCGTGTGACAAAGCCACGGCGTTCCCCCGGGAGCTTCAGTGGCGGCTCAGGGACACAGAGGCTGCCCTGGAGGGGACAAATGAGACATCCCCTAATGTCTCTGAGGACTTGGTGGACCAGGTTGCCATGGCAGATCAGCTGTGGGAGGCCAGCGCCTTCCTGGCCAAGGATCACCTGCTGAGGGCACTTGATGACATCTTCAAGTTCTATATCAATGATGATCCCACCAGCCCCAGTGTCTGTGGAGCGGCTGAGCAGTCCCAAAGAGCCACCAAGGACATCCCTAGGCACCTTCAACCCCCGGAGCATCGCCAGAGCATCTCCAAGGTGTCCCCAGTGAGCGTGGAGCTCCAAAAGGTGCGACAGGGTGGTGGGAGGGGGCATTGGGGGATGGAGAGGACACGGGGCCTTGCGGGGGGGGCAGCGGGGACAAGACGCTGACAAAGGGGCAAAAGGGACCCGTCGGGGAGAGGGGCCACCCCAGGAGGCCACTAGTGCCCCCAGGTCCCTGACATCTCCCCTGTCACCTCTCCAGGTGTCCCGTCCACAGCTGCAGGTGCTGGTGGCCCTGGTGACCACCCTGGACGAGGTGATGGCCACACTGGTGCAAGTTCCCAGACTCCCTGTATGAGGACCTGAAGAACTTCACCCGGAGCCTCCGTGCGTCCCTGAACAAAGGTGATGTCACCTCCCTGGGCCACTGTGGTGTCCCCTCCCTGGGCCAGGCCCTGGCCACACTCTGGGCCACCCCCAGGACCACCCGAGCCAATGTGAGAGCCGCAGCCAGTGCCTGGCGGGAGTTGGTGGCCAAGCTCGTGGACAACTGGGACTGGCTGGCCGGGGAGGCCACCAAGCTCCGTGAGCAGGTGGTCACAGCCCAGCAGCTGATGGTGTCCCTGGACAAGGAGGAGGTGACCTTGGAAGTGGCCACTCACTGTGCCCAGGTGGTGGCAGCCACCATTGAGGCCATGGGAGAGGCTGTGGTGGCCACCAGGAGGGGACAGTGGGCAGAGTTGGCCCTGGAGCCGCTGCAGCGCTTGGTGGCCGTGTGTCACAGATCCACCTTGTTCAACTGGAAGATGGAGTGGCAGGTCAGGGACATCGAGGCCATCCTGAAGGGGACAAACGAGACATCCCCTGATGTCCTTAAGGCCTTGATGGCCAGAGTAGCCAAGTTTGAGCAGCTGTGGGAGGCCAGCACCCGCCTTGCCAAGGATCACCTGCTGGAGGCACTTGGGGTCATTGACAACATCCTCTTGAGTCCCTGTGGTGACCATGGTGGCCCCAGTAGTGCTGGCAGCTGTACAGTGGCTGAGCGGTGCCAAAAAGCCATCGAGGACATCCCAAGGCTGCTGCAAGAAAGTTTCACATAGGGGCAGTGACATCATCAGGGACATCGCTGCTGTCACCTCTGCCCTCCCTGTGCAGTATTTGAGACAGATTTGGGGAATTTTCTGGGAATTTTCAATGATACTGTCCCAAATCCTGATGGGAATTCCTGGGGTGACGTCACTGCGGATCTCAGCGGCACGCTGGGACTGTCTGGGGACACTCAGGGACACTATGGGGACACACAGGAAAAGTCTGGGAACACTCAGAGACACTCAGTAGGAGGAAATGGCTGAATGAGTCCCCTCAAGAGCTTCCAGCTTTCCACTGTGCCTTCAGCTCAGTCGGGTCTTAAATGACAATTTAATAATTGCCTTTTGCACATTGTTATTGATCACCAGCAATTTGATACGGTGTTTGATAGTGATATTGATTATTGGTGATTCCTTGTAGCTGCTGGTTGGTGCAATATAATCTATCAGTTCATGTGTGCAGCATACCACTATAAATTAATAAATTATATAATTAATGACCTCTATATAAATCAGACTGGGCTGATCAAACTCTGTGTCAGACACATCACTGACCCCATTGAGAGATGAGTACTCAATAAATCCATCCCAACGTTCCTTGAGGGGAGCACAGCCAGGGAGCTGCTTCAAGGTGCTGTCACTGAGATATTTCCCTTTGAAAACCCTGGGTGGGATGCAAATACACCCGAGGAGATGGCAAAATTAAAATGATATCAAAGCCTCATGAAATGTGGGTTTAAACATGGGGTCTCTAAAGCTGGAAATTGGTCAAAGCTTCACCAAGTGAGGCAAAATGATGATGAATCACCCTCTGATTTTTTAAACAGGTGAAGAGAGACTGCCATCAAATATACTGATCTAGATCCTGAGTCAACTGAGGGTAAAGCATATCTGGTTTAGTTTTGTGTGGGTCAGGCTTCAAATGATATAACAAGAAAATATAAAGGGAGTTCAAGACATGGATAAACTGCTGGAGGTGTCCTGGAAGGTGTTTTGAGACAGGGGCCCAACTGAAAGAGTTAATCCCAACTTAACAAGAAGGCATCTCGGGAGGAGTCACCCAAGAAAGCTTCCCCTGTGGAGAAGGCTCAGAGTGCATCCTGTAAGAAATGGGGGCATTGGCAAAAGGCCTGTCCAGTGCTGGAAGAAAAATCATCAGTCTCTCTCGTAGAGCGGTCCCCAGCAGGGAATAATGAGCATTGACTCCATGATTGCAGCAGACTGATCAATCCCTTTGTTGTATCATCCTTTACTACTAAGAAAAACCCATGGCCCTTGCCAGACAGTCACAATACACACGTGGAACCAATTAGCCAATCAAGTCAAGCAACCATCCCTAGTTCCCAATTGTTCTGGTTTGAAAGTAAAACCAGTGAGAGACTCCAAGTCAGAAATACCGTTTATTAGGGAAAGGAAAAAACCTCAAAATACATGAAATACAAAAGAAAAAGATACATAAATGTATAATGTACGAAATAATGTATATAAAAGATATATAGATGTGTAGATATATAGATATAGGTAGATATAAAATACAGAATGAAACCTTACACAGAGATCTCACTTAAAATTAGATCTCCTTGTGGTGCACAAGGGGTTTCCCCATCCTTCTCCATTACCCTCCAAGGGTAACCAGGTCCTTGAGTAAAAACGTGGTTGCCACACGTTGGGCGCCAAAAGAATGTTCTGGTTTGAAAGGAAAACCTGAGACTTCAAGTCAGAAATGAAATTTATTAGGAAAAGGGAAAAAATCCCCAAAAGCATGCAATAGTACAAAATAAAACCACTGACAGAGTCAGAATACCACCTGACACCCTGCTAGTTAGGGTTGTGGTAGCAGTCCAGATGACATGGTCTTGTTGAAGTGGTGATCCCATAGAAAAGATCTGGTAGCGTTTGTCCTCTGGAAACCAATGGGTAAGGGCTGCCTATTCTGTCCCAAAGCCCAGATGATATCCAGGTGGGGATGCTGAGCTCCTCCCCCCTGGGTGAAGCATCTCCCAATGGGCTGATATTGTTCTGAGTCTTGATTGGTCCTTGATTGCCCATCAAACAGAAATGGCTCCTGGAGGCAGTTATCTCTGAGTCATGGGGCAAGGCATTGATGGGCCCATTCACAGGTGATAAGGAAGAAACAATGCTCTGTGGCCCTGGTTTTGTGAGGTTTTTTAAGCCTTTTGATGATTACATTCTTGTAACAAACTTTCTCACCCACTTTATGTAAATACCTTATTGTTTTGCATTCTTTTATGGAGGAGGAGTGTTGCCGCCGCTACAGGGGCTATGGGTGTGGTGTCCCGGGTCGAGCACGGCTCGGTGGCAGCACTCCTGCCACACAGACCAAGACACACGCTCACACTAATGTGGTGGATGGTGAAAAGGCGTTTATTAACTGCCAACAGAGGGAATTTATAACAGGGGGTAATGGCAGGGCAACGGCAAAGGGAGAGGGGTAAGGCGTAATATTGCGACATGTCCTAGATAAGGCGATATCTTGAGCCGACATTTCCCTCCCCTCTTCATGACCTATTAAAAACATAGGAAACAGTAAAGGTTAAAACTGCCTAGTGGGACAGTAACGAACTTGTAACTGTAACAAAACAAACAACTGTAGCAAACTTGTAACAAAACTTTGACTGTAGATATTTAACAAATGAAATTTCAACAATGTAATGCACACAAAAACTATCTCTAACTGGTTTTCTAAGAAAAACCAGCACGAACTTATTTAAAATATGGGGCGATCAGCCGTGGGGCTGACCGAACCATGACTTCGGGCATTCTTGCAGGATTTTCTCAGCTCATGATTTGACATCACAGCACCAATTGTCCTCCCAGAATCTGCGATCTGTTTGGCTTTAAAACCAGGGCATTTTGGAAAGTCCATGCCTGGACTCATGTTCTCCCCAAAACACCCTTTGGACCCCTTGGCACAGGAAAAGTTCTAGGTTGACTGATATTCCATACAAGTAGAGTCAGAACTTGGCCAGAGTTCCAACTCCACTTGACGGATACCACTTAGGACAAGTGCTGAGCTCTTTTTCTCTTTCCCCCAGTTCTTCTTTGCGCCAGCCTCTCACTGGGTTTTTTCACGACCCCGATGTAGTCTGCTATCTGTCTGCCTGATGACTCAGCACTGCCTTCTGGGAGTGGGGTATGTGGGCCATGGGGGTGTCTGAGGGTCCAGTCCTGCAAAAGAAGCTTTTCAGATTTCGTTAGTTCTTGCCCTGAAGGTCTAGTTTTATTGATTTGAATGGGCACCATTTAATTTCGCTATCTTTCTTTATGGCTGCATACCCTCGCCCTGTGAGTATCAGCCTCCAACCCGCTTCCCACTTTCCTAACTCATTTTTTGTTATTACTTACGGGCTTTCCTCTAACGCCCGGATGGCCCAGTGCCTCTGGGCAGGACTTTTGATTTCGTCTCCCCTTGGGAACCGAGTTAAAGCTAGTAGGGTGGTTGCTAGAATACATGCTTGATCTCTTGGTGGGATGGAACTGGTGACACCTTCCACCTTTGCTAGCACCTCCAGGTTTTTTTTAGGGTTTGGATGGCCCGTTCGACTCTGGCCTGTCCAGTGCTGTTATAGGGAATACCGTAGACTAACGTTATATCCCATTTTGATGCGAATGCTCGTACTGATTTTGAGGTGAAGCTGGGACCATTATCTGTTTTAATTTGCCTTGGGATGCGTAGCCATGCCATGGCTGTTAACCAGTGATGGACCGTTGCCCTGGAATCTGCTCTTTGGTGTTGCGTGGCCACGATTATTCCGCTATGAGTGTCTACTTGTACTGCTAACCACTGTTAGCAGTTACTGCTTGGGGTCTCAGCAGCTGGCATAACGTAAAATCTGTCTGCCATATATCAGCGGCCTTGGTGCCCCTAGGACTGACGCCACTGGACCATAATGGTGACCTGTGAGATTGGGGGCATGAGGCGACAATGTGCCTCGCATCAGTGACGGTGATCCCGCATTTTCTTGCGAGTGCTCTGTCTCCGACATTCAGGGATTCATGCAGCCGGCAGGCTTCTCTCAGGGTCCACAGCCCTCTCGCAGCGGCATCTGCTTTGTCGTTACCAACTTGAAAGAATCCCTTGACCGGACTGTGGCTTTTGACATGAATGATGGATACGGTGCCCTTCTGCGAGTAAAGTGCTTCTTCCAGCATTGCTGCCTCTGCGGACACTGCCACATCGGCTATGGTCACGGTTAGACAGAGTCAGGCCACGAATATGGAGTCTGTTACAATATTGAGGTGTTCGTCCGGGAACAGTCCACATGCCAGTGCCACGGGGGCTGCCTCGAGTTGTTGGACTGACCGTGCAGGATCTGTTGTTTTAATGCAACGCCAGCGCTCTCCTGTCTGCCACACTACCGCTGCAGTGGAAGTTAATGAAGATGTGTCGGTGAAAACTGTGGGTCCCTCGCATGGCCGGTTGATTACCTTAGGTGGTAGGTCAATGTCAACGACCTCCAGCATCTGCATCCATGGGGGTTTTGCCGCGTACCGAATCTCTCCCCCAAATCCAGCAAGGGCCATGGCCAGGTATTCTGATATCATTGGTGAGTGTGCAGGAAGCTGTTTGCGGAAGGGTAGGTATACTCTGGTGGTTTCAGCAGTCAGGTGTCTCAGAGCGAGCTTCCTGCCTTTCATGATGAGGTTGCCAAGGCATTCAACTCCTGGGGAGAAGGCACGCGATGGTTTTCCCAGCACCACCTATTGTATTGGTTGGGCTTTATCAGGGGGTCCCTGGGCTAGTTCTCCTACTCCCCCTCTCCTTGTTAGATGGATATACAGATCAAGTGGCACGTTCGAGTCCCACATGGTGAGTGTCGTTGCTGACATCTGGTGCTTGATGAAGTCAAGTGAACTCATTGCCTCTGGCATCAGTACTTTACTCTTCCATGGGTTCTTCCCTTTTAAGAGGATTGTTTAGGGGGACCCATGATTTCAGGCGGGATCAGAATGATGTTGTGAAGCCACTGTAATGATCCCACTAGCTGCTACATGTCGTGAAGTGTTTTGATATTCCGGTGAATTTTTATTTGGGGAGGGGCTACGTAGAGGTTTGAAATTCCCACTCCTGAAAAAGTCACGCATGGTCCCCTTTTCATCTATGCACTGGCGATTTCAAACCCATTTACTTTTAGGACCTCTGAGACCGCAGATACTAGCCAGTCTACCTAGCTTGTTGATGGCACAGCGATCAAGATGTCATCCATGTATTGAATGATAGTTGCGGTGGGATCACTCTGCCGGACTGGCGCTAGCACTCAGTCCACAGTGATCCGGCAAACATCTGGGGAGTAGACCATTCCCTGAGGCAATACCCACCACTGGAAGCGCAAGTTTGGTCGCTGGCTGTTTGGGAAGGTAACCGGGAACATGAACCGCTCTTTGTCCTCATCATGTAAAGGGATGGAGAAGAAACAATCCTTAATATCCAGCACCATGCAGTGTTGCCCTTTTGGCACCAACGAATTCATTGGTAGTTGTGGTAGAAAGGGACAGGCGCTGCGGAAGATCTCGAGATGTAACGGAAAGGCAGGACCCTCAGTTTCCCCCTTAGATAAGACCATCTGCTTCCCATAGATAAGAAACTAACATAGGAAGGTAGCCCCCCTTAACAAAAATACCAGTAACTTTCCATCCCCTACCCAGTAACTGTCCACCCCTTACTAACCATAGATGGTAAAGACAGACCCACGTTGACGTAGAGACCCCTTAGACTATAAAAACCCAAGAGATGAGATAATAAACGCCTTTTGACCGTCCATCACATTGATGTCTGCGTGTGTCATTGGCCCGAGCGGCCCAGGAGAGTTGGGCCGCTGTGCTGATCCTTAGAACCAGGTCGCCTGCCTTGCATCAGAAGGCAACATCTGGTGCCCGAAACCCGGGAGCCATCTGCGCCCTGGGAACGGGGATTCTCCTGGAAGAGGACAGTGGCTGCTGGCAGCAGGTCTGACCACAGCGGGAGGGACGCCTCCGGACCAGCGTGGGCCATGGAAGCCATTGCGAAGGTCGTAACAAAGATGCATGCACAATGGGGTATAGAATGTAAACTTAGGGATTTATCTCTCGCATTGCCGAGACTGATTAAGCTTGGGGCTATTGAAAGCCCCGTGGACGTCCTACATTCGGACGTGTGGGATAATTGTACAAAAGCCCTGGCGGAGGACACCATGTCCTCGGGCTCAGGGAAAGCCCTAAAATCGTGGGGCAGGGTTGTCCAGGCTCTGCAAAAGGCTCGACAAGAGCAAGAAACCTGGATAGCCGCGCGAACCTGTTTATTAGCCGTGCCACAGTTGGGGGTGGGCGCGGCGACACAAACCGCGGAGATGCCTGACCCCGGCGGGCGCGAGGAGATGCGAACGCCGGATCCCCCTCAGCGAGCGGATTCACCATCGGAGGGGGGAGAACGCCCGCGGACGTTCTGGCAGGGGCTCGCGGAGGAGGCGCGGAACGCGGCCGAATCGGCGGACCCCGTAGGGACCAATAAAAACATCCCCCCACCATATGCGTTTGAAAATGGCGCCGAACCGCATGTTCAGGGCGGAAAGGAGGAGGTGGGGGGCGGAAGCGCGGTCAGCCCGCTTAACAACGCATGCACGGGCGAGCGGGGAGATGGGGCGGCCCCTGCGGAGGCGCGGAAGACCAATCAGAGCGCTCTATTCAAATTAAGTCCTTATAGGGCAAGGACCTCCCCCAGCAGGAGGCGGGGGGACCCCAGGGGGAGGGAACGGCCCGACCCCCGCAGGAAGGAGCGGGATCGGAGCCCGAGGAGAAGGCAGAGCAGCCCGGAAGCGTCTCTTTATTCAACTTCCGGCTCGGACTCGGGCTCGAGCTCCGAGCCCGAGACAGGATCGGAGGATTCCGATCTGGATTCCGGCTTTAACAGAGAGAGAGAAGCGGCGCGTAAGGTCACTAGCCACAGCGCTCCCGCATGGGTGAAGGGGTTACCAGAGAAAAACCAAACCCCACTTACAAACTGGCGGAAAATAAAAATGGCTTGCGCGGAATGGACTCCGTCTGCCACCCTAGTGTTCCCGGTCCGTGTGGGGGGGGCAGGCAGAAACCAAAGGACTTATTCACCAGTCAATCCGAAAGATGTGCAGGCAATTGTTAAAGCGATTGCGGATAAGGGAGTTAATTCTGCCATGGTTTGCACACTTATAGACGGCCTTTTTGGTGGGGACGATATGCTTCCCTTTGATATTAAGCAGACGTGTAGAATGATATTCGATGGTGCAGGGATGATCGTTTTCAAACAAGAATGGGAGGATAATTGCATGAAACAGCTAGCCTTGGTAACAGGGGCAGACCATCCACTGCACGGGTCCAGCATACAGAGGTTAA